TCTGTCTGTCTGTCCGTCCATCAGCGCCCATCGCAGCCGGCACCGGGCCAAACTTCTCGCTGGCCGACCTCGACAGCTCCTCCTACTACAGCATGAGCCCAGGAGCCATGAGGAGACCACTGCCCAGTACCTCCTCCTCCAGGTACACACCAGCACACTCAGCACCTCCTCCTGTTGTTCATGTGACAATTTATCAGTTTTAATGACTGCAGTCAATCAATCGATTGACTAAGGTCAAAGTGTTTCTCAAAGAGGGAAACATGCGCGTCATAGAAAACTCTAAACAATGATCCAATAAGTGCTTTTGTAAAATAGAAGAAGTAGAAAACTGATTCTATAATATTTCATGGAGCACCTGTAATAAAATAAATGGGACGCAGAGTCTGTGCAGTGACTCGCAGCACCTGCGCCCTGTTTAAATAACCTTTGTTGAGCTGTCAGCGGACAGAACGGTGAGGCGTCAGTGCTGAGTGTAAGCGCCACCTAGTGGCCCGTGGACTGACCTTTCAGCGATGCTGGAGAAGTCGCTTCATCATTGGCCGATGTTCCCAAACCAGAACTCGAGATGGCTTCATTTCGTTTTTTACTTCCAAGCATTCAAATCCAGATGGTTTATGTTCCAGCCGTACAGTGCTCAGAGGACACACAAACAACAAAGAGTTGGTTGGATTTGTGAAGTGAAATGAAATGACTGCAATGGACAGATGCAAGGATGACGACGGTCACACCCTCGTGCAGTGCACTGGATGGATGCTGTATCACAGACACGATAGGACAGCTGTCAGTATTTCACTAACTCACCTGCAGGGTGTGTAGAGTGTAGAGGCTACGGCAGCTTTGGTCTGTGCATGAACACTAACTGTTTGTTCCTAATGTGGCTTAATGTATGTTAGAGCACACACACACACACACACAGCTGATTGGTTCTGATCTGACCCCCTAAAACAGCCCTTAGAACACATGTGTCAAAGTCAAGGACCGCGGGCCACATCCGGCCCGGCGTACATTTATATCTGGCCCGCGAGATCATTTTATATAGATATATTATTATTGTTATGCATGGCCTGGCGATAGGAGGTGCTAATAATATACAAACAACAGATCCCATAATGCAGCGCTGCAGCCTCCTTGCCGAACGCTAGGCTATTTGGGAACATTCCCGCGTCA